CTGGGCCAATCTCGAGACGCACAAGAAACCCTAAATAAACCCCCGAGAAAGGCTCACATATATTCTTGCTACTATGCTGGATATCAGAGCGAGCTTTTGTGCACTAATTCGCAGAAGAACTATACAAATGGTTTAGACGATGCGTGGACTGATAATGTTTTCATTTTTTCAATATCAGGCTAATTGAATTTCAGGGCGTTTAAACGTTTTTTTCTATAATCTATAAGAGTGTAGCTAATTATAATGAAAACTTTTCTTTCGATTATAATTCTGAGATAACACCAAAATTACGTCTTTTTTCTTCTTAGTTTCTTGTATAATTGCGAGCGAAGGAAAGAAAAGAAAACCAGGCAATCATAGTGCCATCACAAAGTGCTAATCAGTAAAGTAGGGTCTTACCGGGTAGAATTCGAAGAAAACAGCAGCAATAACATCTTTGGCACCAATTGCAGAATTGTGGTAATCCTCTATGACCTTATTGTACCCTGCAATGACCTCCCCAAACGGTATTTTGGCCGCTTCTTTTCCCTGCAGTCGTCGAAGGACTGAGTCCAGATGATTCTGTTTGAGCTGAGTAAGTAGATCGTTACAAAATTCTCTTGTTAACTTCGCATTCTCGTTTTGCCATGCGATCAACATCTCACTTAATAGTCCCTAACAAAAGAAAAAGGACGCTCAAAACCGGGAATGGCTAGGAGAAAACAAAAGACAAACCCGTGCAAAATACCTTTATGGAATTCCATGAAGGATTAGGACATCAATTTCCATGGAACTTTTCCATGAAATTTGATTGAAATTTCTCCATCGATTTCCATGGAATTCCATGGAAACTACTCCATGGAATTCAGAATATCCAGTGAATTAAATGAAATACATTACAAATTCATCACTCAAATCTAAGCTTTCTGCAACTATAGCCTAATCCAGTCTCGCTCGTTTCTCTCTCTTTATGGTATGTGCCTCGTTAGCTAAGACCGCTCAGTTTCCTAGTCAAAAAATTTGAAGCACTTTTGAAAGGGCTTTACGGTGTCGATAACGTCTCTAAACAATGTATGTCAAAAGAAAACCATCGAACACTTTTGCTCTCAAAATCTTTACATTACAAACGAAATACTTTTTTCCACCGACTTGTTCAACATAAAGAAAAAATACGGAGAATCAAAGAAGCCCGCGTGTTAACAGCGACACGCTCCTCTTATCCAAATGTTTGATACGGACTCAGGTTTGCTTTATGCAAATTTTGCAAGATTGTAATTTGAGAATTGCAACTAGTAATAGAATCGGGCGCGGAATCATTTTTTGTCGCATTGACTTCGAAGTTGTTGAAGACAGAAAGCAAAGCCAACATGTAGGTGATATATATACAAAGCCACTAGAAAAGTCAGTGTTTTTTAATCCATGTTTTATTTTCAAGCCAGTACATCATGGCCATAATCTAAGATCTTGTAAGACTAACCCAGCGCACTTCAGAATACCTGTATCACGCACTGTTAGGCACAAACAATCGTTGCTTCCTAGAGGTGCTAAACTTAACTTAATTTGATATGTATATATAATATGTAGTGTTTTGAATTTTTATTGTAATATTACCGTAGTTCTTATCGCCAAAGGTAATAAATAAAGGTTATTATTATTATAAATCCACGTTTAATCCATGTTTTATCAATCCAGTCCATGTTTTACCAATGCAGTACAGTCAAAGTTTTATCATATGTCAAACAAACAGGAACGCGATTGACAAGCGACGCGAACGCCATGAAACCCCTACTCGCAGGGTTCACCAGTTTAACGAAAGGCCGCTAGGGAACGTTTTCGCGTGAGAGATCACAAGTATAGACATTTGTTATTGCGTGTAACATTTATTTGAAAGTCCAGACATTTTCTATTTTTTTTGTCCAAAAAAAGTGCGGTCTTGAACACGTGGTAAACAAGTTGATGAGTTGCCTGATTTAAGACCCTGTTTACATGGAGTGGGGGACCCCGGTCTAGTGGGGTAAGTTTCTTTTGTTTTGTGTCCCCCAGAGCGTGAAAACAAAAGAAACCAACCCCACCAGACCGGGGTCCCCCACTCCATGTAAACAGGCCCTAAATGTCAGTTTCTATGGATTCCCGTAAAAAACTGCAAGGACACTCCACGGAATTCCGTGGAACTCCATGGAAGTTCTATAGGGAATTTCAATTTTACTCTAGTTGGATATTCTTATGAGAATGAACTGCATAATCGCGAACTTAACTCTTTGCAATTCAGGTCAGTTCAGTTCAGTTCTGTTCATTTATTTGGCCAAAATATAATACAGTAAAGGAATATATATAGGAATTGTTGTTTGGCAAGGGAGCCCAAAAGAAACCAGAGGGCTTATGAAGCCTGGGATCCACAGTCACAAAGCAATAAGTAAAATGAAATTCGCGGAGTTTTACGTAAAAAAAAGGAACTAAACAGAGACTGAGTTAAGTTATGAATTCAGTAACAAGATAGAAAAAAAGTTTTCAACTCCGGATTGGAACGAATATAAGGAGGGGGCATGGCGAATGCAAGCGCTCGGCTTATTTATCAAAGAAAGCAGGAAACTTTCTTACGGTTAGTACGGCAGAAAGGAATATGAAATCGATTTAAACTACGCGTGTTATAAACGTGAACTTGATTAGTATGTAAAATGAATCTGGAAACACTGGAAGGAGCTAAATTAGTAATAAAAAATACATAAATTTCCCGAGGTGCAGAGAGTAGATGACTTCTAATTTGAGGAGCATACGATTCTTAAATAGAGGATCTGTGTGGGCATCAAACCCCTTCTCACTGATAATTCTAATAATAACGCCAAAGATGGGTAGGGTAAGTCGAACCTTATACTAAAATACAGTAATGAAGATAAGAATAGACAAGTGAATACACGTAGTATAAAGTACACAAAGCTGACTTAGTAAGACAAAAACTCGATTTACGAATAACGCCCAGACTTTGAGATTTTCCGCGCAACCTGAGAAATATATAGAATAGTTTATTAAAGCTCTCTTGCAGTAAAAGAACTAAATTATCGAGTACATTTTACAATCATAAGACAACTATTATCTAGAGTATGGTAATTTACAGTTATAACAATGAAAATAACAATTGAATCACTTAAAAAATTTAAATGTAAAGAAGTCCTCCACTCTCTTTGTCTTACAGACCTGCATGTTCCGGAAAAGATAATACTTTTGTGTTTTCTGCCTTAAGGTGTAATTAGGCGCGTCCAGAAGTGGGCTGGGAAGTAGGTGGTGCAGAGGGTAGCTGGGGGACTTCATTTTCGCCATATATTTGTAGCACAAGAGTACTCTTCTATCGTCTAACCTATCTAGTTTACCTAACTGTAAAGCATGAGCATATGACTCTGCCTCGGGGTACATTATGTTAAGCGCCCTTTTTTGCACTCGCCTTATGGCTTCGGACAGATAAGCGGGGGTGTTCTGCCAGACTGGTACAGCATTCTCTAAAACTGGCCGGACTGTGCTCAGGTATATCCTCAAGATGTTGGGTTGGCTCACCCTGGCTCTACGGAGAACTCTAAGGGAGTATAACTTCTTACAAGCTTTCTTAATAATGTAATCAACATGACAGTTCCACTTCAGGTCATTGTGCATAATAACTCCTAAGATCTTATAGGTATTGGCACGCTTGATGACACTGCCGCCAATTATTATCGGGTTAATGAGACAATTGGAGTTGCGTAGGAAATTAATATGCATTTCTTTACACTTGGTTGGACTAAGTCTCATATTATGAGCAATGGCAAAATTGTGAATGTCTGAGGCCACTACATTAAGTAAGTTAGGGGAGTTTCCATGACAATGACTCATATAAAATAACACCCCCAAAAACTAACTTCTTTAATTTGGTTCATCTTAAGACCATTCATCTCTATATTTAAGGTGAATTTATCTCTTCTCCTCTCTGCCTGCCTGGGTTTAAAAGTTATGTAATTTGACTTTTGTATATTTAGAGATAGCTTGTTGGCTTTAAAGCAATCAGATATCTTGAGCTTTTCAGAGTTAATGAAGTTCATTAATGTAGGAAAGTCAATATGAGAAAAGAATAAACTGGGATCATCAGCAAATAAAACCACTTATTATATGGCTGAGTCTGTTTTCGCCATGTGATTGGTCAATTTGCGGTCCGTAACTTGCTATACGGACCAAAATTTCAAAGAAAATGCTCATTTCGGAGCTCTAAATCTCTTTACCTCGGAAAAAAGATTGAAATTAAGTTACAACACGTCTATCAACCTTGAGGACTTAGATTTTGACTTTGTCCTTCAACATTTTAAACTGTGCCTTATTTGTGAACGAAGGCGATGAAGAAACTAACTAGTAATATTATCGAAGAGCATTCTAGTCAGTGTTTGAAAATAATTATTTTATCGTAGTACACAGTTAAGAAGACGAAAATCGACTGGCAGAGATTCGAGATGTTTTGCCTAAGAGAAAATGAGTAATTCCTTCGACAAATATGATAAAAAACATGCCTGCACCCGATCATCAAAGACCAACGAAAGAAAGATAGACACGACTCCGAGCCAGACACAATGTCCAGTTTTCAAAAGAATCCGCGTCACATTGGCGAGTGAATACTTACAGTGCTCTTAGTTTTGACCGAATATACTTAAAAATATGTCTGTAAACCTTGACAACAGGGATGTTGACTTTGCCTTTCCAGATGTTAACCTAGCTTTGTTTGAATAAGAACGAAGCTGATGTAGAGACTGAATCGTAACCTTTCCATGGAAGAAAATATGGTCCGTGTTTGGGAAAATTTTAACGGAGATCACGCTTGAAGACGAGAATGGACTGGCAAAAATTCGAGAGGTTTTCCCCCAAAAAAATTAACGAGCGAATCCTTCGACAACGACAACAAACTTACCTTGAAAAGATTCTTTGCCTTTTGCAGTGTCTTTTTTTTTTGACAAGGACCAACGGAGGAAAGATCGAAACGACTTCGAGAAAGACACAGTGTCCGGTTTCCAAAATACTCCAGCGTTACATTAAAGAGCTAAAACTTACAGCGCTCTTAGTTTTGACCAAATAAACTTTTTCAACATGGCGAATTTGTTTTCACTTTCTCGGAAACCCTTTGTTGTGTGATATTGTTTTCGTGAGCCAATAAAATCTTTCTTTCTTGACGCCTGTCAAATGATTGTCAAATCGCGCGTCGTGCACTTGTTTCCGGTCCCCCAAACAGGAAGAAGCCACATAATGAACATCTTATTAGCCTCGTTTTTTCGGTCCGTACTGTAAATTACGGATCCTCGTTTTTTTCCATCGATTTATGGCCTGCGCACTTCGCGCTTGGGCCATAAATCGATGGAAAAAAACTCGGTCCGTAATTTACAGTACGGACCGAAAACTCGGCTAATAAGAGGTATGTCATAGACACTGAAATCTGACACAAATCATTAATATAATTTAATAAGAATAAGGGACCGAGGACAGACCCCTAGCCCCGGGGAACTCCACACAAGATTTCACAAAATGAAGACGAGATACCATTAAATTCTACGTATTGTTGCCTATTACAAAGGTAGCATTTGATACACTCTAGGGCAACAGGAGGGCATTTTGCATGCGCATGCGTGCATCCGCTGAACGACAATAGCGTGAGCGCATCAAATCTGATAGTGGGAAATCGAAAACTCGCGTAAAGTTACTGAGTCCTTTTAAAAGTCATGTCGTTGGTGCCTTGAATATCGTACTTTCCTATAAAAAATGTTCTCCGTGACTAAAATCGGACGTTTTCTAAGCGGGATTTTTCAGCAGTAGGTTTTCTTGACCTTTTAAAATTAAAGACTTTAAAGACTCAACGCCAAAAACCACTGATTTTCACTAGCAAAGCAATACATTTCTATGCTTTTAGTTCCCAACTCATGGTTTTACTCTATATCTAGGAAGAAATGCATCGTAGCAATGTTCAGCTGCTTTAAGAAAAGCGATTTTTTTTTTCTGCGTGAGATTTAATAGCGCGATGTCTCATGTTAAACTGATCGCGGAGACAAGCGTTTATATATGCCACAAAAATGGAAATCTATGGGGGTTTTTTTACACTTTTTTGAACGTTTTCGCGGAAAATATATATAACAAATATATTCCACAGGAAATGAAGAATGGATTGAGTCTGAGACAGTAACAATTACATGTAATTATGTAATAACTTGAGCATTTCATAAGCTCACTTGCAGACAAAACAAATGCACATACCCCGAAAAAACAAACAATACTTTTATTTTTCTTCAACTCTAAAAGATACAGAGCTTTTTCCTAAACTACTATTTTGAAGCGGCCCATGAGTAACAGCTCCTGTGTTCCACAATCTATGTCTTATTAAGTTATATTTGATGATAGTATAGTGATCCATTCAGAACAGAGAATGCCCATCACTCCATAAATCTAACTGATGATGCTTGTTCACCGTGAAAGCCTGTTAAAACATAACACAGGGAGTTTGTTAGAGGGGTGCATATAGTGCTGTTTCCTCAAAAAAGAAATACCACTGCTAAAGCACCCAAATGAGTTGGGATGCGACAACAAGCATGACACAAATGAATGGCGGTGAATTTGTCTGTTTTTACTGATTCTGATGAGAGCTTTTTACTGTGTCGAGATGAACCCCAAATGTAAGTTGTACATAGAACCCTATCAGGGAAGAATTATCAAGCAGATACTGATGCATTAAACAAGAATGTGATTCAATACAGAGGACAATGTGGATGAAATGTTTCACAAATTAGCATATCAACAAATGTAGACAGTATTCACAAAATGGGGTGTTTTAGGAATATATATATATATATTGCAACAGAAACCAGGATTTATTTAAAAGATGTATTGAAAACGCTTCATTTCGTGCTATTTTGGGGTTGGGAGTTAGGCTAGATTTTCTTTAAAACGCCGGAATGTTATATTTATTTGCATAATGAAATGTAAACAACCAGTGTACCATCAAAATAAAGTGGAAAAAAATCAGAATTCAAACCGATTGCTGTAATTTTATTTCCTTTGTATAACTAAATGATAGATTTTTCTTATTTTCAAAACACAATCTTACTAGCATCATTGTATTGAATTAATTTTATAGTTGAAGAGCGTGTATTTTATTCTCAACGAAGACGTACCGGCGAAGAAAGCTAAAATTACTGCAGAAGGCGCTTTTTCACAGCCTTCATCAAAGCACCATTCATTGGCCGAAGTATTCTTAGTTTCATTAATCATCAACTTCATGCGGGGAGAAAGGCAAGATTTCGAGATAAACAAGTCAGCGAAAAGGGTGAAAAACAATTTCACGGCAAAATGGACAATTCATTTACCACTGTATTCCTGAAACGATTAAGTTCGATTTATTTTACAGTTATACTGTTGAGAAGAATTAAATATCTACCGGGTATGGCGTGATTGTTTAAAGGAAAATTATCATACTGACCTTTTCCTGCTGTTCAAAAAATGTGCGCGAAATGTTGGGTCGTCACAACATTCAGCCGCCATACTGTCTTCGATGTACTGTTTTACGAAAGGAAAGACTGTACTCTCAAGGGCGACAGCGAGGCTACAATAAACTCACTTTCATCGGAGAAATATCTCGATGCCTTAAAGAACAAGTTTGCGGAACGTAGCTCCAAATATACGTCATTCAGCTCCAAAAAAACAGCCTACAAATAATCGTAGTGAACGTAAACAATTCACAGAAAATGCCTCAGGGGCACTTCAACAGACCATACCGACGCAGCGCGTACAAAATGTCCTCCTGTTCTCTAGGGCCAGACCACGGGCCCATAATGCTCAAGCTTATCGAGTAGAGTATCGTGCAATGCTCATAATGCTCAAGCTTATCGAGTAGAGTACAATGATTAACAGTATCAAAACCTTTTGATAAATCAAGAAAACTTTATTTCTACTGAATGCTTTCTGTCATCAATGGTTGATGTGATCTTGTTCTGTAGGTATAATAAATCTAACGAGGTTGAATGTTTCTTTCTCAAACCATATTGATTATTGTAAGTATTGTGTAAAATCTCATACTTATCTAGGTATTGAGTTAAGTGATTGTACACAACGTTTTCTAGAAACTTCGAAAAGATTGTTAAGACTGACACAGGTCTATAATTAGAAAGTAAATTTTTGTCACCACACTTAAAGAGAGGAACCATACGAGCTAACTGCAATTAAGCAGGGACAATACCTGCAGTGAGTTAACTGATAGATTTAAAACGTATCTCAAAGGATCAGAAATATAAATAATAGATTCTTTAACAGACCAAATAGGGATCTTATCATAGCCAGCCTCAGAACTAACACGAAGTGACTTAGCAATTTTGGGTATTTTTTTTTAGCGAGTGCAGGCCCCAGATTGGTCAAAAAGTTGCAAAATAATCAGCTATTAAACTGGAATCTAAATTCTCCTGATTATCGATGGTGAACGTTGGGGTTATTTATTAGAATTATTATAAATTGAAATAATTAATAAGAAAGTGACAAATCAGTTAAAGAGATGCTTACTCAAAACGAAAATCTTTAAGGCGGATGTGTTTGTCCGGTTAAGTAACTTTCTAGGGTTTAATATTTAAACATCAAAGTTTCAGTTCAACCCTGCTTAAACCAACACAACCCACCCCAGATCTGAATAGAATAAACAAATAATGGTCTTGGAACTGCTACTTCTTTTAAACGAACCTTTAGTTTGTTGAGATACGTTTCAGTGGTGCTTGTGGAAATTCCCGCTGTTTCTGCCATGAAGTAAGCTTCACTTGTTTCAAATGCAGTTCCATGCACCTTACGTAGTTCATCATTATCACAAGGAAGCTTGTCTTTCAGCCTTGACTTCATAATATTTTCGTAATTTTCCAGGGCTCCTTTTATAGCCTCGGAACACTTCATCTGCACAAAGGTTTCCCAGGCATTCTGGACATTAGGAATACCTCCTGGACTATTAATTGCTTGAACGTACAGCTGAACCAATGCAGCAAGACCTGGAAAATGACAACCAGAACTTTAAACAGGACACTGGAATATAGAATTGCGGTTTATAGTTCATTTACAAACGTTCTGGGACAAAGTAATAAGTTTCTTGGTAAAGCAACAGCCAGCCTCAATCTTCATTCTTAAACTCTTTCCGGACCCCTCCGTGTAATCAGTGCAAACAGATGCGGATGATTTTTAGTCCATCGTTTCACCCTAAAACAAGAAAAGCGCTTGTTTTTTTTTTTCTAAATTAGTAACGGGTATATACCTTCTCCTGTAACAAGCTCTTCTTCATTGAAACTCTTTTTAGGAGTCAAAATGTCTTCCAGTAGCACTTTAAATTCTTCTATGCGACTCAAGAACAAAGGATTTATCTGACTTTTATTATCGTTGATGCTTTTTACAATCTCTGGGTCAAAGGCGGGAGACGGCAAAGAAAACGCTTTGAAGCCACTGAAAAAGTGTAAAATGCTTTCAGCACGTTTCTGTTGGTCATTCGGAGATGCAGAGGAAGATTCATGGACCTTAAAAACCTGCAAAAATTAAAATATAAAATAGTCTAAGATTTCACCTAAAATTCAGTTCCGATCTGGAAAATTTTCCTCAAGTGAGATGTAATCAATGACATAACTTAATAAAATATTTCTTCATATCTGATTGGCTTAACCCTATTCAGAAAGCCCTCCCTCGATAAAAAGTTGAATAATTTCAAAAACGTTCAAGCTATGATCAACAAACTTTAAAATTTATATTTGAATATTTTCAAGTCATCGTGCTGTTTACGGCAACATTAACGTTACCATGACAACCGGGATTTGACAGCCATGTTTTCAAAAATTGTCATTTAAAAAAAGAGGCTTTTTTTCTATTTTACTGACTTCTTTGCTATATTACACTTCAATTAGCATTATTTAATCAAAGTTAGTATAATTGTTAAAGAAATCTAAAATACACGAGTTTAATATGACCATATGGCAGATGATGAGTTTCAATTTTCAATAGTGTTCATTTCTCGCAAAATTTCGTATTTTGCAGATCTTTTTGTTTCCTAAGCATCCTTTCATACTCAGATCAACTTTTCCATTAACAATACCTCGCTTTGTGCGGGTTTAAAGTAAAATGACATACATTTAAATAATTCAACATTGCGGATCCAAGATGGAAGATGCTTCCCGTTCCATTTTTTAGTAATAAATGACGTCATCATGCCATCACTGCTACTGTTAAACATCTTCTAAATGTTAGCCAACTTCTTGACTGCATCAGAAACCTTAAAGTTTTTGCTTTATGTCTAGTAGTATTAAACGTGGAGAAACGGGCACAGTGGACCAAAAGCAAGCGAGCTGTCACAGAAATTTTGCGATGGAAAACGAACTGTTTGCAAAGGCCCATTCTGGCGTGAGAAACAAGACGGAAAAAATTAACTTCGTGATCGGTCTCGCTTGCCGTGGCATAGAAGGCAGGAAGTTCGATTATTTAGAGGTGTAAAATGTCACATTATTAATATACATGGCCGCTTATTTAACGCTTCAAGAATGACGTTCTGCGGATGTTTTACGGCCCCGTTAACGATCAAAATCTTCTTTACCGCCAGAGCCAGAAAGAGTTTATTTTCAACTGGTTCGAGTAAATTTTGATGAATGGACGCATGTGTGGAGAAAGAATATATTCAGGCTTGATGATGAAGATCTTTTCGTCTTTGCACAGCAAAATAAAGGAAAGTTTGTCAGTGTCGTCAAAGGAGAAATGCTTCGCTGGAATACGGCAAAAGGGCAGTTTGGTCTTTTGATTCGATTTGGGTCAAGGAGCATCAATTGTTGATCACTATTTTTACAATGATCCAAAAGTGTTGCAGCATGCAAATGATGCAGTACATAAATCAGTAAGAGATCAGTTCAGGTATTTTATTGACTGGTTTAATAGTAGAATAAATAACTTTACACTTAATTCAGACTTGAAATTTTACAAAGTACTTAATAAGGCTTATGTAAACGCGTCAAGATTTGTTCCACTTGTAGCGGGTTCATATATTCCGCTCCCAAAAAAGCAGAAGACAAAAAAGCCATCATTAACGTAGAAAACAGAAAAGATAACGAGTGCTTAGAATGGGCACCACGGGCGGCATTGTCAGCCGTGCCTAATGGGAAAGCCAGCAGTTGTCCTATCAGCGACGGTATCGATTATGCGGGGATTAGTTTTCCAACGCCGATACAAGACATCGATAAGCTTGACGCACAAAACGAATAATAAGCGATAGATGTCTTTGGTTGGCAAAACGAAAGAGTGATTGTGTACAGATTAAGCAAAAAAAAAAACAAAATGTGTGTCACGAGTACATCTTATGCTGACTGGGTCAGGCGAAGTTTGGCATTATTCATTCTTAAAAAGAGTGAGCGCACTGTTGCAAGACCAAACAAAAACGATGGAACTGACAAAATATTACTGCTTGAGGTGCTTGGAAAAATTTACGACACAAGAAATTCTGAGAAGGCATAAGGAGGTATGCAAGGGCATAAACGGAAGGCCCATGCGAACAGATATGCCTAAGGAAAGTGAAAAATGGATCTATTTTATGAACTTCCACAAGCAGCTTAAGCGTCCTGTGAACGAAATCTAGCAAGTGGATATGGGTAAGGGTCAGAAATAAAAAACTATCGGGGCGAGAACGCCGTGGATAACTCTTTGTAGGCAATCTTTCAAGAGGCAAATAGAATAAGAGAGAAGCTAAAAACAGTAGTGTCCGTTGAAAAGAATGAAAAAGATTAGGCCGATTTTAAGAAGCCATCAATTGCCATGTTTGAAAAAAATTGAAAAAAATCATTTTTGGATTCTTTCTCAGTTTATGACACGGGTAGTTATTCCGGGTAAGCACACAAAAAATGCTACTTTCAAAAAAAGTTTTAGAAGGGCCAAGAGATAAGCGCCAACCCCTGGACGAGGTGGACCAATAAGTTTAAAACAGCCATGAACATTGCCTGTACTACCTGTAGCCGTTGCTTGCTATAAACTACAGAGACGCCGTCAGGGATCACTGCCACTCGGCGGGGAAATACCGGATAAGGCCTGAAGTTTCAATCACAGTCTTTTTGCCCAACCTCAAGTGGCATGATGCGCATCTTCTGTTTCAGGGTATGGGAAAAATGGGGCAAAAATGGAGAGCAAAGAAGTAAATTGTATTCCAAACAATACGGAAAAGTGTATCAGCTTTTCAATGGGGAGGAAAGCTTTAATTTCTTTCAAGCGAGCTAGGATTCGCTGCTGAAAAGTATGCCTCCATAGAACTCAATTACACTACGCAGCTTGCTAGAAATGAAACACAACGCCAACTGATTCAGATTTGTAAACGGATTGTATCCATACGAATACATGGATGGAGGAACGTTTGAGCAAAACAAACTGCCCTCCCAAGGCATATATTTTACAGCTCGCTGGATGACGAGCACATAGCCCAGGAATAATAGGAGCATGCGAAAAAAGTGTGAACAGAGTTTGAATGCAAAACTTGGGGGATTATCATGATCTGTATCTCAGGATAGATTTCGCTCTTTTGGCGGATGCTTTTGAAAACTTCAAAAGCATCTGTTTGAAACAGTACAAGTTGGATCCGGAGCATTATTACACATCGCCAGGCTGGCCCAGGATGCGATGTTTTAAAAGACAGGAATGGTGTTGGAACTGCTGAAAGATGTGGACATGCATCTGTTTACAGAAGAAGGAACTCGGGGCGGGATCTTGGTAGTAAGCAAGCTTTTTTTGAAAGCAAACAATTTGGATTTTTTATGTGCATCTGAAGTATCCGGCAGAGCTGCACAAAGCCCACAATGGATATCCACTTGCCCCAGAAAAAAAAAGAATCGAGAACGGATGGGTGTCCGATTACCAAAAAAGCATGGTACATGAGTTGGGGTTGAAGCAGAATAAAAAAAGAACTTGTTTTGACACTACAGGACAAAAAAAAATTATGTAGTGCATTCACGGCATAAATTTGCAGTTTTATCTTTAACAGGGGATGAAACTCAAGAAGGTTCACAAGGTGGTGAAGTTCGACCAAGACTGTTGGATGGAACCGTACGCGTATATCCGAATGAACACAGAATTCCGGAAGAAGGCAAAAAACCAATTAGAGAAAAACTTTTACTAACTCTGTGTTCGAGAAAACCATGGAGAACGTTCGAAAGAGAGTAAACATCAAAATCATGTGACGCAATGAAACAAAAAAAATCGCAAACTGATTGCAGGTCCTTCATGCGCCGGTGTACACGGTTTTCCAACGATCTTGCTGGTTTCCGAATGCAAAACGAAATTGTGACACTGGACAAGCCTGTTTATGCCGAGATGACGATTCTTGACAATAGCAAAATACTTATGTACGATTTTTACTACAACGTGCTTAAGACGTACTACGAGGCAAAGTAATAACGTCTTTATTAAAAAAAGCATCGGATAAAATTACATATCTGATGTTACAGTAAAAATATATATCGATAGAAAAAATTACAATGACAAGATGAATAAAAAAGATTAAATTGATTAAAAATACATATGGGGTATTTACACAGCTAGATTATCTTTAAAAATTAATCTATTAAAAAAGCTATCTGTGAAACGTTCAGTGTTAATGGTGGGCCTGACAACGGATATCCTTCGAAGGTTTACAATACAGTCTTTGTACCTTGGGAGCAAGCTTTTTAGTGGATGGTCATCGCGTTTGAGGTTATAAAAAAGGGGTCTGTCGCTTTTCTCCAAAAGTTCATATATGTTGTAATTGACCGACGTATAACGCCTCTTATAACATCTTTTTAAAAACCTTTGTATAACAGTAAGTTCGGAAACACTTGCAGCATAAACTGAAAGACCGTATAATAACTTAGGGATCACAATTGAATTAAAGAGGTGGTCTATTTCATCTTGTGTATATCCTTCTTTACGTAGGCTTCTGATGACAAATAAACACTTGTTGGCTTCATGGAGCTTGGCCTCGACATGCAAGCCAAACTTACAATTACCTTGAATTGTGACGCCTAATAAAGAAATGTTATTATATTGTTTGATATTGTGAGACATTGGGTAGACTGTTGAATTGCCTCTCTTACGCATAACTAGTTTCTTACATTTACTAGTGTTACAATGCATGTCATTTGCAACAGTCCAATTCATAAACTTGGACAAGGCAATATCAGATATATCCGGGGAATCTTTAGTAATCGTGACTAAGACGGTTGAATCGTCTGCATATTTAAACAAGGATATATCTTTGTATCCATCTATCTCTAGGTCATTCAAAAATATGTTGAAAAGATATGGGCCACTGACACTTCCCTGTGTTGTTCCCTTGTTAACAATTTTCCACTGGCATGTCAAATTATTAAGTGTGAGGTCATTTATACGGACACAGACAGCCTTTTGCTAGAGATTCAAACCAATGATGTCTAAAGGACATGGAAGGGAGCAAATAACACTTTGACATAAGTGATTACTCCAAAGACCACCCTCTATACAGCAGTCCAAACAAAATGGGCAAGACGAAAGACGAGATGAACGGAACCCCCATCGTTGAGTGTCGGCCAAAAAAAATGCATTCCATTCTTATGAAAAACAAAAACATCAAAAAGTCAAAAGGCACAAAACATAAGTGGTGAAAAGAGGATAAAGCATTAGCACTTCAAAGAGGCGCTCCGCAGCCAAAAGGTCTTCAGGCACGAAATAAACATGCTTGGCAGCGAGTTACATGAGATCTATGGAGTGCGGTTGAACAAAATCTCGCTGAGCCCATTCGATTTTAAGCGATACACTGCAGAAAACGACATTCACACCCTCGTGTCCGCATTCCGATTAACAGAAGCAGAGCTTGAAGATTACCTTATAGAGATGCTGAAGGCAGAACAGAGTTTTAAGCTAAAGGGCACAACCATCAACTCCTCAGGTACAAAGCCTCGTTTGGGCCCATCCTGCAAGTCATACAATGTGACATTTTTCAATGTTGTACACTTTTAGTGACCAAATGGAATCATTTTCACGTTTGCGGTGGCCTTCCCGCTTGTCTGGTTGGTAGAGTTAACGCACGTACACAAGGGTGGGGAGCTTTTTCCGCCCACCCCGACAGGTCTGTGGTAGGAAGTCGCAGGCTTGGAATAAACGGAGTTTTCTGTGATAGCTTCAGCAGGTTTCTTTCTGATCAACCGAGTGACTTCGCCGTTCAGGGCAAAGTCACATCAGGAAGCCGAACGACCCATTGAGAAGATTTTTGGGCCCTTGGGAAGCCGCATTTCGACAGCATACTTGTGTCCAAACAGACGCTCAGCAAGGGTGCGGTTGAACCTCTTTACATGATAGCCTGGTCTCTGCGGATATCCACCCGGCCACGGCGAATTTTTGTTTTGTGTTTTTCCATCTCTTTGGTGACAGCGCCTATGAACTCGCGCCCAGGGTCCACTTCCAAAAGCTGTGGTCATTTCAAAGGCCTACCTTTTTAAATTTTCTGAAAAGCGCTCGCCACTTCAGCCTTTGAACCGTAGACCATAAACCAGCGATAAACCAAAGACCTTCTTTCGAGGTCTATGCTTCAGTTTCTTTGAAACGCCGCAGCTGCAAGCTTTTTGATGAAAATTTCTTCACCACTGGATGAGAAATGGAAATGGAAGATGCATATCAATAGCCTCTTACAAAAACTAGGACATCGACTTTCAGTGTTCAGCCGGATTTATCATATGCTGGATAAGAGACGTCTAAAGGCATACCTTACTTTTCCACAGGGCCGAGTTGTTCAAAGCTGGGTTAAGATAACCCAGGGTTAGTGTGAGATTTGAATTCAGATTTGAAAGCTTAAAAGGCATTTCAGTTTTAGTTCTTTTTGTCTACAAGTTGATGATTGGAAGCTCTGAAAATAGCACAGAAAATATCCAAGAAAATGCTTTTGAACACAAGAAAAAGAATCCCGGGTTAAATTTAACCCGGGTTAAGCGCTAATCGGCCGTCGAACAACTGGGCCAAGATGTTGCGTGGGAAGATCAGCCAGGTCTTACAACACAGATGAAACAATTCCAGTCTTTTCAAAATCTCTTTGCAAAGAAGATTTTAAAGGCAAAAGTTACATCAGCTGAGGCCCTGACACTGTTGCGGTGGTTCCCGTTGCACACACGAGGCTTATCGGTTATCGATGTTGTCTTGTGCAAGATGCATTGAAGGCAACTATCCCCGAACATTTCGATGTGTTCAGTTTTCAAATGAGCCAACAGCACGGTTGTAATACTCGAAATGGTTACATGCCCAAAGTCAGCAGGCCAAGAACGGAATGGGGCAGAAACAAAACATATTGTAAAGCAATGAACTACTGTCAAGTGAGCTCAAGATATTGTATCGATCTTTTTTAACTATAGGTTCCCGGTTCAAATTATAACTGTATGTCATCATAATTAAACTGTTTGAATCTCTGAATAAAGGCTAAACGTCATATTATAAGCTCCGGTTAATACATTTCCCTTGACTTTAAAGCCTTACTTAAAATTTGGCGTACCCTTCTGCCAGGGATTATACTTCACCAGGTTTTGACGAACCGAGCCCTGGGAAATAATACATCAAATTGCCAATGAACACTTATTTCCAACCACTTTAAAACAACTGCGTTGCCTGATGCAAACGTTTTGCATATTTTTGTAACCTTTTTTAAGAAGAAGTCTTTCAGGTCCTTGCAATCACTTGGAATAGCTTGCGTTACATCCCTCAGCAGCCAGAGGAAGTAAGGGAACGTTCGGTGAAATAACTCCGTTTCATTTTGTTCGACGCCATCCCGTTGGTTTGATCTAACTTGGATTCTTTGAGACAGCTTTGTTATAAAACTAATATGTGTTAAGGAAAATTATGCGTTAGAGTTAATTTCTTAAACAGGTATTTTCCCACTACCGTTTCAATATAAAAATGATGTTTTAAGAGTCTCTCAATCCGCCACCCTTTCAACCACCTAATGAAATATACACTCATCTTTGCGAATAATAGAGGTATCATAAAATAAAATAAAGCCACAATCAATTTCCGTGCATGTCCATGCTCTTCCTTTTTTTGTACTTTGTCTCCCCCTAAAAAAGCGTAAGCAAACAAACAAACCAAGAAATTACTCAAAGCGCATTGAGCGAGAGGATAAGGATAAAGAAGAGTAAATAAAGGATACTCTAGTCCCTCGAGATCACGACTCGTGGGGACACCTTGTGAGTTGTAAATAAGCACGGAAGCTAGCAGTACCGTCAAAGTGAATATTTGATTATCATCGTAACCAACACTGGAAGCAGCGTCGATCCCTTCTGAATCTAGTAGCACCACCGTGAATTCTTTGGCTCTAGAATCCTGGATTTTAAGCTGCAGTAAAGCACGAAACGGATTTTTTCTTCAACAATACGTTAATACGTTTTACTGGACAACTCAGAAAACCGTCAAAACCGTGAACTCCTAAAAGAATTAAGGGGGAATGTTAATTGCGTAAAGACAATAACGTTTAAGACACGTGGACAAACCTTTAATACCACAAACTAATTAAAGCTGCTTTTTGAAGCTAAAATTTTTCATATCGATAGGCTTTTCCTTTCGACACAGTACAATTATATTCCATAAATCTTTCTGGTGTTGACGGTTTTCTGAATTTACCAGCAATTGCTCATTTTATGGTCCTTTCAAGAGGCGACAGCGATAGATATTCCGTCCCATAAAGCTCCATAACACTGGTTGTCTATGAAACTAATTAAAATGCACAAAAGTAAGTTAATGAAAAATTTGATTTACACCATATTTACTTAGTGTAAATATGGTGCAAAAAAGTGCAAACTAAATTTAAATAAAGGGCAAAGATGGTACTGAATACCGCATTTGCTCACGAATTTACAGCCCCAAGTAAACCGGTGTGCAAATGCGGTATATACCATCTTTGCCAAGAGAGGATAAAGGGGACAGAGAAGGCATCCCGCATACACACCCTATTCCATAAGTAATTCGTCTCGAGTTATTTTTAACACCACAAATCTCAAGGGGGATTAGACAAAGCCAATCACATAGCGCGAATGTGTTGCGCGTGGATGACCCACGCTCAGAGCCACGCGCCTTTCACGAACTGACGCAGAACAAAATGGCGAAAGACGCGAGGAGCGATATTGCTGTTCATCTTGTTGACGAAAACGACTACAAAGAGATTTCTGCTAAAGCTGTGTCAGCGAAACGGAAATTAAAAAAGAATCGCCCTTCCTCTCTTGTATAGAGCTAACAGTACAGCAAGGAAATCCTAAACACACTGAATATTCTCTCAGGATCATTTATAATTTACAGTTTGAAGAGAGTAATTTCTGGTTTGATATTTATTCTTTTATTAGTCTTTTATTATTCAACAAAAATAACACTTGGCGTCCTATTGTGCAAACGACCGGTTTCAATAGACCGGCGAAATTCTCATTTTATTAAAGCACTGAGGTTACGACAACTTCCGAGTTAAACTGATTTCATGGGTTGTCAAAGAGTCCAGCGATTCCCTTTTCCCAGGTGAGTGCCGACTCATTTTGCTTCAATATTCAGGAATGCTCTCGATCTCTTTACGCTTTCATTGCCTTTCGACTGACATGTTTTGTACAGCGTTTAGTCATGCGAAACCTCCACGAAACATCCACGCAGCGCGCGAGGTAACTTTATCCCGATTCTAAAAATAACTCGAGACGAATTACCTATGGAATAGGGTGTGTATGGGGGATGCCTTCTCTGTTCCCTTTATCCTCTCTTGATCTTTGCCTTTGATCGCCTCCTCGTTTCCACCTTTTTGAACCATATTTGGCCTGGATCAAATTTTTGTAAATCTAATTATATATAAATATATCTAGCCGAATTTTTGAAAACGTACCTCAAAACAGGCCAGAATATTCGCACAGAAACCTGGCAATACCCAGGTTTCTGGTCATTGCGGTGAGCAAAAAAAAGGGGGGGCTTGCTGTCCTGGTTGGTCTCATTGTCAAGCTCAGTCCCTGAGCTAACTCGCCATGGGTTGGAAAGGGGCCTCCATGTCAATCCCTAGGGGGGCGGGGTGCTGCAAAAGCGTGGTACCTTCCGTTAGTCTAGCTCTGGTAGAGTCAGTGCACTGGTCATGTCTGCCTTTAGTTTGTCATGTCAAATTCTTGTAACGTTTGAGGCCCATTGGCCAATGAAAGCATTCCCCTCAAGCACGTGCTAGGCTTGGGGGAGGAAGTCAGGGTGGTGATTTAACCTTGAATTCTCTGCTTAGAACTTGGTTAAGTCTCAAGCATCCTCCGTCATTTAGGGTCTTTAAGCAGCTAGAGTGTATGGACAAGTCCAGAGTGTCTTTTTGATGGACTTGAATGTTTCTTTTGCTCATCAGGAACCAAGAAGAGAGTCACCTTAAGAGAACCATGGGTAAGAGCTGAGTTTCTTGGCGATATTTACTTTAGTTGAGTCAGTTTAAGGTGTGTGGACTCCTGGAGTCCGATGGTACGGTTTTCATAATCCGGCTAGATATTTATCTGCCTGGATTTGATAAAAGGTACAAGATAAAAGGAACAGTCTCATTTGAAGCTTGTTCAGTACTTGACCATTCTTCGTTTTTTTTTTGTTTTGTTTTTTTGATCAAAAAACATGTGTTTAATATGCTGTGCACATCTTCCCCCTCCCCCCCCCCCCCGCCACCCGCACCTCTTCTCTACCTATCATTTACAATAATTCTCTACACTATGACATTTGAAATCAGCGCGCGCGGTAGAAGTTGTTTTCCGTGGTCGGTTAATTTCTAGGTTTCTTTTTGGCCGCCTGCAGCAAAGTTTTCCAAAAGGCATCATTAGGCAAAGTCTGCCGTCGTCCAATATGTTACCGTATTTCGTCCGATTTTGGCTAAACGGGTGAAACACTGATCTCGGGCTTGAGACAGAAAGGCATCATATTGCGAGCTTTGATGTGGGCGGTGACGAGTCTCTGGCCTCAAGAAATAGCTTTTAGGAGTCAAAATTATTCGGCGAGAGCAAAATTGATGCTGATTTCTGACCAGGCCAGAGACTTAGTAAAACTTTGTTTTGAAGGCCGGCGTCCATGGGTGCTTACAATTTGACAGAAAAATCCGGTTGGGGTGTCGAAAGCATAATGGTAACCGATTTTCCAGTTTACCGTAGAAATGCCACATCCGTTACGGGTTGAACCCAAAAGAGGGCGGATTTTGTAGCGTGAGTCTGGAACCGAGAAAGAACCGAGAAATTGGTTAATGGTAAGCAACATTCCGTTTGGTTCGTACCAACCGGAATGAACAGACTACCTCCAAACGTACTCCTCAATTTTCGGTTGGAATTTCCGAAACGTGACCTTAACATTTACCTTCCATCCGGAATTTCCGAAATTTTCTGTCAAATGGTAAGCACCCCATGTGTCCCTTTCAAAACCGCTCGTTTACATCCGGGATCTTGAATAAATCGACTGTGTCAGCAAAGTTTACATGTGATGATTTATGTGGAGAAAGCGAGAGTTATTGAGAGAGAGAGTAATGTGATGATATATATTTCGCCCGTATTAAGTGTGGAAACATTGTGTCTGGTTGGTTGTGGATAGTTTTATCAGTGCCGCGAACGTTGTTAATTGTGTGATTTCCTGAAGTTGTTGACAGACAGATTTCAGGTATGTCGGTGGAGCTCGTGTTACAAGAATATTGTGTACAAGCATGAAAACGCTTTGTAAGTGTTTAGTTGAAGTGATTTTGTCTTAGACAACCGATTGTGGGGTCAAGAAAGGTGTATTCTAGGTCCGTTTTAGTCGGGCATCTCGCCATGAGCCTCATGGTTTAAGACACTGAAAGGTCATTATTTCTGTGCTTTTAAATGTTGTTCATTTCGTTACAAATCTGTCGCTATTGCCAAGAGCAACTTTTCGTGTGTTGCCGGCTATTAATTCGTCCGTTTTAAGCCCTAACTAGCGACTTTCAACTGCTTTTATTGATCTCAAGGGACAAATTGTGAAAACGCACTTGAAATTTCTAGAGGTATCTTTTATCAAATCCAGACAGATATATATTTATTTATTATATAAACGCCAATGAAATACCAAGTGAGCTTTCGCGCGAAAACTTGATATCTTCACATGTGAAAATAACACGTTAACTTCACATGTGAAAATATCACCATTGGTATGGCTTCATCATAAAACGCACCTTTCGGACCAAAAAACTATTAAAGTAAAATGGTTTGGCATTTCATTGGTGTTTATATAATGAAAAGAACATTATATGGTCGCTTGGAGATACGAAATTTCTCTTCTCTTGTTGAAAAAAATATTTTTCAACACTCGAAGAGAAATTTCGTATCTCCGCGCGGCCATGTAATATCCTCTATATATCAACCAATGCATACAGCGTGATTCGAACCCATACACTCTGCGTTACTCATGAATACAGTCTCGGTTCATATTGAGCTCTCAGTCCTAAACGTTGGGATCAGGATAATTTCATGTGACTTTGCATCTTACCGTAAAAGCAAGACTGATACTTACCTTATATTTCTCCGGTACAATCCACAGCCAGATCCCCATGGTCTCTGCAACCATTTCGTATCCAAGAGGGAAAACGTTCGGTTGACCAAAAGCCTCGCTTAAAATGTACGACTTTCCGTCTCTGGCAGGACCGGCAATTGACACCACGCACACTGGACCTAGAAGAGTAAGAAACGTTCCAACGAGTAACAGTAAAGACCCCTCCCGGAGGGGGGGCGCGGGGGGGGGGGGGAAAGGGGGCTCCCCATAATAGCCCTTTAGGGGAAGGCTCGGCCCTGAAGAGATATATCAAAGGGTAGGAAAATCACAAGTTGACGTATATGGAAGGGTAGCAAAATTTATCATTTAAGAATTTAGAAGGGCCTTTAAATGTTTCAGGAAAATGACTAACAAGTACTTAACGCTCGGACGTACACGCAAATTCACAACCCCGGCGTGGTGCAAGAGGGGGGGGGGGGTGGATGGCTTGACCACCTGCTATTTATGACGTCACTTCTTGTAACCATAGCAGATGACCATCAATTAACTTGTCTCAAAGTGTACGAGAGGGATGAACGAACAGCTACTGAAAACGTCAGGTGCTAATGTTTAATCCTTTAGGAAAAAAAACTCAGAAAAACCTTATGGCGGGGGAGGCGGGTGGCATCCACACCCATAAGGTTAAAATACACCCGTAAGGCCCCTTATACGTCCGAGGCTTAAGGTTCTTGTGTTAGAAATTTATTCTTGTCCTCTATTTTTCCTATTAAGTAGGTGTGTTAGAGAGGTACCATTTTTTCTGTTAATACGAAAGGGATACCTTTTTGGTCAAAAATGGTATATTAAAGGAATGGAGTTGGACCTCAGGGCTGGGCCTCCCTGTATTGTTAAGTAGCGCCCACCGAGCAAAGGCCATTCCTAGATAAACTATCGGACAATATCATTATCTTACATTCAGTCTGAGCGTCACAAAAATTTAATCGGTGATGATGATCGTTCGGTTTTTACAACCAGGAAGAAAGTGCTGGCAAATGAGTGTTCTCTTATACTCCACATTAGAAACCTTAAGCAACGACGACGAATTAGACGACGACGACGAGTAGAGTTGTTGAGGGACTAGACCGAGGACGTCGTTCACGGCGGGAAAACAGAAACGTTAAGCGCGAACTTGAACGTGGACGAGGACATGTAAACGAAACAGTGCTGATTTATCGTGAAAATCGAGAAACAGTCCAATAATTTCATCATGTCCAGGGTGTCCAGCGGCATGGTTGCTCAAAAAAATAGGAAAATAGGAAACTCAGGATTAAGAAAATAGGAAAAATAGGAAACTTTGCATTAAAAAAAAAATAGGAGAAAAATAGGAAGATCAAAAGTACTTTTGTCGACAAAGATAGCCTCCCTGTACCCCTTAAGGGTTATAACAAAGGCTACAAGTCCTCAGATTCTATGTTCAAGGGATTTAGATCAACTTTCGCGGCTAAGAAGGAGTGAAAATGATCAGTAACGTTTAGTTTATTGGATCAGTTACGCTGTATTAAATCAGAATGATATGATTGACTACAGGTGGAGCGTGGTTCCATTAACAAAGGTGATCATATGGAAATTCCCTTCAAGTTGACGGCAAATCTTTGAAAAGCTTTGAAGGGTGAAATTTCCTAGGATAGAAATTTCTTACGATTGAGTTGTCATTGAAGGATATCGAAAAAAGTCCTATGGAAAGCTTTCGAAAGCAATCGGTAGCTGGTTGAGAATATGTTTGTTTGAGTCAAAAGACCGCATAATTTTAGGTACGGAACCAAGCTCTCCGCGGTGTATGGAAAATGACACTGATCTATTTGGTACCAGATTGTAATTGTGTCATGGTTAAGTTCCAAGAAGAACATAACACTCTGCTTAGCTATGACTGCAAGACCGATTTTTCAACCAAAATATTCGATCCTTCACCAGTTGGTTAGGTATAGCTGTTAACAAGGGGCTCACCAAGAGAGCTAGTGCCGTAAACTAAACTTTAGTCTGTTCTTTTCATTTTAGCATCCAGAATCAGCTAGTGATTGGTTTTTTTAAACAAGAAGCTGATCGGATGATTTATCTGGCCTGTGTTGTGAGAGGACAACTTGATCCTGTTTTCAGTTTCAAAGGTGAACATAAAAGAGACCAAGACTTCAAAATAAAATATGACATGTACAGATACTGAAATGCAGTTTCAGTGAGCTATGCAAAATATTTAACAATTATTCCTTGAGCCCGAATGGGCTCTGAGTCAATAGCGGCCGAATGGGCTATTGACTCAGAGGCCATGAGGGCGAGAGGAATAATTGTTTTAGAAAAATCCAACTAGTTGGTCAAAAATATCTAGAATAAAAAAATTTTAGCTAGTTAAATTAAAGCTAGACTTTAATCCTTTTTTGCCGCCAAAAAGCACGCCTTTTGCTACTAGTGGTAGGCTATAACATATAGCCTAGTAGTAGCTCAACCAATCAGAACGCAGCATTGATAATAGACCACTAGTTGGATTTTACTAATAATTAATAGTCATGAGGACTATAACACTTCATACAATACATGCAGGTGCACTAGAAAATTGTACAAAAAGTAACAAAAGAAAAATGTTAACAGAACTCTAATAGGCAATAGAGGTCATGGAAAGAACAAACGTAACTGTCATTTTACTAATATTTGAACATCAAAGTCAACATGCTACTTGCTTTATGATAAATTTCACTCAAAAACACATACAACTATAATTCCATTTTCAATTTTGTTACAAATTTTGGCTTCACCAGCTAAAAAATAGGGAAAATAGGAGGTTTTAGTTTAAAAATAGGAGAAAATAGAAACAGGCTCAAAAAATAGGAAAAAATAGGAAAAAAATAGGAACTAGACACATGTCTTCTTTTCACGAGGTCCAAGATCAACTTTTTTTTAGTTCTGAGAACGGTATTCCAGATGAAGATGAGTTTTTGCTACTACAAGAGCAATTTATGCCGAAAAATCCCAATTTTTCGTACGAGGAATATGACAGGTTTTCCCTCGATGAGATGAACGATGCCGAGTGCTTGGCAGAGTTTAGATTTAGAAAGCACGACTTGCAAATTCTCGCAGAGGTTCTTCAAATACCTGATAGCTTCAGATGCTATCAAAGAAGTGTTGACGGAATGGAAGGTCTCTGCATTCTTCTTAGATTATCAAGTTATCCATGTAGATACAGTGACATGATTTCTCAATTCGGACTGCCACTAACAGTTCTCAGTGTGGTCAGTAATGACGTCTTGGATTTTGAATATCACACTCACAGACATCGCATAACACAGTGGAACCACAATGTGCTTAATCCAGCTGCATTACAGATTTACAGTAACGCCATTGCCGACAAAGGAGCTGCTTTATAATTGTTTTGGGTTCGTTGATGAGACCGTTCGACCCGTATGCAGACCAGGAGAGCACCAAAGAGTCATCTACAACGGCCATAAGAGGGTTCACGCTCTAAAATTCCAGTGTGTGGCTCTACCCATTGGTTTAATCGGTAACCTATATGGTCCAGTGGGTAAGTTTTGCGGGGAGTGTTTGCACAAAGAGAGAGTGGGCGATTTCAATTTCACTATGTTTTTAACAAGAAATATTGGACGAGTGTCAGGGGTAAAGAGTGAGAGGCTTATGTGACAAACCTGTACAAGAAGCATTTTTAGTTCCTTACGTATTTTGTACTTCCTTTTACTGTTTCAGAGGGTCGTAAACACGATGCTGGCATGCTAGCTGATTCAGGACTTCTTCAATACCTGCAACGCTTTGCAAATTCACCAGTTGGCAATCCATTTTGCTTGTACGGCGATCCGGCATACCCTCATAGAATTTACTTACAGACGCCATTCCCAAATAGAGCCCTTACTGCCCCAATGATCGCTTTCAACCAGTCTATGAGTACAGAATGGCTGTTTAATGACATTGCCAATTATTTTAAGTTTATGGACTTTAAAAAGAATCTAAAAATTAGTTTGAGTGGTGTTGGAAAGATGTATGTTGTTTGTGCAGTTCTCAGGAATGCTCTTACATGCCTATATCCAAATCAGACATCGCAGTACTTTAACTTAGATCCGCCAACACTACAAGATTACTTTGCTTGAAAGTAATTCAAATAATATACCGGTAATCAAAGAGGAATGACATGTCAGTGCAATAATGAAAGTTTCATGTAAATAGCAATGCATTGTTTCCTTGAGTACTTTTTTCTTTCAGGGTGTATCAAGAGAAGGTAGGTTAATTTGATACAGGAGTGTATTAATAAATGACAAACAGCTTTATAAAATTGTTTTGTTTAAACTTGAGTTCCAGCCAAGAGGCAAAACATCTGGGATGCATTAACTGGTGACAGGAGCCTGCTGGCGAATGTTCCAATCATACCACAAAATTAGGAGCTAATCATTTACCAGAGGAAGGGGAGGGGAAGAGGAAAAATGTTGCCCCACCCCTTTCTGATATATTTTTACAATTCCAACCGCTACAGGAGCCTTCATTTTGTAGCCAGTCAGGCAAGATGGGCATACACTGTATAACCATAAAATAAACTTGAAACTTTGAAACAACGAAGCTTAAATTTAATCACTATAAAATGTTGTAGCTTCAAATATAACACTGAAGATTGTAGCCAGTCAGACAAGATGTACAGAAATGCACATAAAATACACGTAAAACTTTGAAACATGAATCTTGAATTTAATCACTTTAAGGTTTTGCAACAACACTAATCAATTAGAACTTTGCAGTCTCAAAGTGTACCTTCAAATACAAACAGTACATTATTGCATGTCTGGAAGATATACATGCTGCCTCAGCACTTTTTCACGGTAAAACTTCCAGTAACAACAACATTGGAAAAACCAACACTTGGATGGATAAAATAGCGGATACTTAACTGTTCTTATTTTGGCCCTTTGCAAGCAAACAAAGCATAGCCTGCGTCTGCTGCTGCTGTTGTTGTGCTAGCATTTTCACCATATCCTCCTTTAAATTTGACTCAGCTCCTTTCGTCTCAACTTCAAATCCTCCTTTCTGAACACACTCTCTCTTTCTGACTTTTCTTTCAGAAATTACACCACTTCCGACGTCGATCTTCTTCCTTTCTTCGCCGTTTGGGCTTTTTCCGTCTTGTTTCTCAGCATTCCTTTTCCTGGGTTCACCCAAACGCTCAACCGCTCCGTTGCGGTGCTCCTCCGCCCTCCGCTGCTGCCTTGTCAATTTTCTTGTTATCATCTTGCAGGCTTCTCGCATCCGTGGCCGCTTTCTCTTTTTCTATGATTTCTTCTAACGCTTTGTCTAGCTTTGTTTCCTGACGGTCTATTCAGAGGCAACTTCCTCCATTCTCATTTTCGTACGTTTGTTGAAGTAATGTCAACCTGTCTCTGACACTTCTCTTTGATACTTTAAACTTAGAATGATCAGAGGCATTTAAATTGTTTGCTATTTCGTTCCATGAATCTCATCTTTCCTTACTACGGTAAGGAAGTTTCCAAGGTTAAACAACTAAAACTTCCTCGCAAAGATTCAAGTCATGCAGTTCTGTCCACTCCCTTCTACGAAAATGCACATCGAAATATAAGTTCATTTTTCGGAAAATTAGACTCTAAAATGACCTTAACAGCATGAAAATTTACTGCTCAAGTTAAAACAATTGTAAAAGATTGCATATAGGTAAATAAAACAAAACAAGTAATCACTTTGTTAGTTCTCGATTTCATCTTCTTAACTTGAATGTTTTGCTAACAAGATGCAAATCCCACAAAGCCCGAATTTTGACTGTTTGCAAAGTTTCAAAATCATAGTAAGATTCAATATTGTGCAAAGATTAGAAACTAAGGAACATCTAACTTTCATTTCAAAAGCCAAACATAAATTCTCTTCCTAAACAAGATGAAAATACATAAATTTATACTCACTTTCTCGCGACGTTCGGCCTGGACGGCAAAGATGGCGTTTTCACGTTCTGAACTTCACGTGGACGACGAGTGAAGCATGCGCAGTAGCGCGCTAAGCGGTATTTTCACTTCCGGTCGTCGTCCTTAGGGCTTCTCGTCGACCTTGCTTAAGGTCCCTATTATGTTTCAGGCTGACCGCAATCCATTGTAAGAAACGGTCACATACCTTTGATTTCCCTGAGCTTCTCAATGGCCTCATCAACCACATACAGCGAGGAGCGTTGTTCTTCTGTTTTTGTATACTCACGGGTTTGTGGATTCCACTTGCAGTTGTTTGGGAGACAAAGAGGAATTGCTTTCCGCTCATGACCGATGCTTGCACCCGCAATCCCTGTTCCTACCCATGAAAAGTGGAAACTGTCTTTGTATTTTTTAACCTAAAAATACTACTATTTCATAAGCCCGCAATGGTACTGAAATATTAATGTTACGGTAGCTGGAAAGCATCGATCCAAAAATAAGAAGTTGGCGGCGAACACCTAACGAGACCTTGCACGCTAATCATTTAATTCGGGGAAAAAAATCAGTCTTTTTTACCATATCAAGCGAATTTCTTCCCAGAACTGACTGCAAACCATGCTGATAATGAAGAAACGGTTTACAGTGGGTACCTATGGCAGTGATGTAAACAACTACTTTATTTAAGAATCAAATGTATTGAACATGAAAGTTTAATTGAGGACACTATTTATGACCGCCATTGATAAGTGATCGTTCAAGCCACGCTTGTTATGCACCCTAGTCAAGGCGAAGGTACATAGTACCTTCAGTTTATTTCTCCACTGAGATTTTGAGGAGCGAAACCAGCCGATATCGCGCTTTTAGTGCGGGTTTATGAAGTTTCATGAAGACAGTACGTGCGTTCTGATTGGTTAAAAACCTATGGTTTATTGTGCCGGTAAACCCATAGAAAACTTAAAGTTATTTTATAAAAGCAATAGAACACACTTTCTATGGGTTTACCGGCGTGATAACCCACTTCGGCCCCTGATTTACAAGCTTTTTTCGTGTTCTCCCTACATCCCGCGTGGGTTATCACGCCGGGAAACCCATAAAAAGTGTGGTCTATTGCTAAAATAATAAACATACGAATTTATAGATTTTTTCTTTAAATTCTTGCGTGGAAAATTACCGATCCAACTGACTGCGTTATATTACTTTATTATCTTTGCAGACATGACGCGCCAAAAGCACATCCTCACTACCTGGACTTGTTCGCTGATGATTTTCGTTAACACGTGTGGGGGAGAATTCTCCTGACGATAGATCAGCTTCTGGTCTCGATCTATCTTGCTGCACTCTGTGTTCCTGCTGGAAAGACAATATGTGGCTTAATCATGTGAAATAAGAAAACTACGAATTACAGGAGGCAGAACAGTCGTTGTCTCAAGTGAGACCGAGAAACAAATCAAGTAAGTTTGGACGAGAACAGAACTTAAACAAGGTTATTCTCCGTAATTCCAGTCTAGTGCTCTTGCTTCCTACAACGTGTAGGTGGGAAAGATCAACTCGTTCCTTCGTGCTAGCCAAGTGAGCTCCGATTTCGGCTGAAGATCTATCTATCAATTTAAAAATAATAATAATAATAATAATAATAATAGTAATAAACTATAGTAATAATACTCTAAACACCTAGAGAAGTCGGTGAGGAAGTTAATTGGAGCGAGAGCACGGAGCGTACTTGAGCGGATGCAGAAGTCGGTCATCTCAAACACGTTAAACATTGCCAGAACATTTAAGATAAATACTTAGTTAGGGCGCTAAGGACTTCAGTTTTTAGGTTTTTGTTTTTTCTCTAGAAATCTAGAAACGCAAGCTTGCTGACGTTTTTACTTTTAGAACATTGGAGTTTGATATTATTATAAATAAGCTTTTAGTAGAGATAGCGAAGGTTTTACAGAGTATCATAATTTAATAATATTCTAAATTGGCTTTTTAAGTAGAGAGATTCATATCACTATGTATTTTAGGATCGTATTAGGCTTCGTATCGACCTTTTTTTACTTCGAAGTATAGCTTCTCAAGTGGTGTAGGTTACGTTATGAGCCCTATACTACTCATAATATGGACAGCATTCCAAAGTTTCATACTGCGACATAATAATTCAAAAGTAGGTTGAGTTTGATCATTCGGTTGAACGTAGTCCTGAATAGTTTTGCCTGATCTCGTCAGTGAGTCGTTTGTACGGGGCTGGCAACTGTTGACTACGATTCAGTGGCGTTCGTTCTAAGTTAGTAAACCAGCTTTCTAAAGTAAGACGACTGAAGTAAGACGTTGATATTAGTCTGTAGAATACGTTATACATGTCGCAGAGTCCCAGTCAATTCGATGTTTCGTCTGTAAATGGTGCTCGGCAATTATTCTGTTGTTGTAGCAGAAATTGTCATGCAAAACGTCGAGGAACAAGCCCTAGCTACCTACACGCGAACTGTACCTCTTTAGTTACGTTACGTTGACGACACATTCACCGCCGTACACATAGACGGAATCGACGATTTTTACGAACACCTTAACAGACAGAACGCTGACATACAGTTCACCAAGGAGATCGAAGAAAATGGTAAGATACCTTTTCTAGACTGCTTGGTCACTGAGTGAAAACAACAACAAGCTAACTAAAAACGACTATTTACAGAAAACCGACCCATACCGACCGATAACTAGACCAGTCTTCGTACAACCCGACCTCTCACAAGACCACTACTATCCGGACTTTGACAACACGAGCGCAGCTAGTTAGCGACTCACCTGACAGCCTACAAGACTAGACTGATTATCTTAACAACGTTTTTAGTGAGAACAATTACAACACGGACTTTGTTAGACGGAACACTCACAGTAACGCTGATTCCAACACTCAGACCAACTCTGGCCCTGTTACGACATCGACTATACCGTACATCAGAGGCACCTCTGAAACTATTGCACGTATATTACAACCTTACAATATACTTGTTGCACACAAACCAATAACCACTTTACGGCGACCGCTTACTAATGTCAAGGACAAAGACAAACCGGAGGACAAACAGGGAGCAGTATACAAGGTGAAATGCTGCTTCTTACACTGGTGAAACCGCCAGAAAACTAAGCACGCGACTGACCGAACACAAATGAGCGACGAGGAATGGTGACGTCAACAATCACATTGCTGAGCACCATTTACAGACGAAACATCGAATTGACTGGGACTCTGCGACATGTATAACGTATTCTAAAGACTACTATCAACGTCTTACTTTAGAAAGCTGGTTTACTAACAAACGCCACTGAATCGTAGCCAACAGTTACCAGCGCCGTGCAAACGACTTATTGACGAGATCAAACAAAACTAACTAGGAGAGAACGACTGGAGAACTGACTCTTTGACTAACAATAGACGAATGTTTAACTGTGACAACAGACGGATCGAAACGCACCAATTACTGATTACGAATCTTCATAGCCAATAACATCACGGCTTAACTGACAGACGACCAATAACATCGCAATGCAGTTGACCAATCAGACCAATAACCAGAGTATAATACCATCAACTGAAGTGATACAACTTACTTTGACTCTGAAGTTGACTACCGCACAGGTTTTCGAAACGTCAGTCACTGTCAACAACAGTTCTATTCAGGACTACGTTCACCCGGACGATCAAACTCAACCTACATGTACTTTTGAAATGACTCCTGGGTTCAAAACTTTGACAATAATTTATTTATTTATTATTATTATTATTCTAATTTTTATTGTTATCATCATCATCATCATCATCCTTGTTGTCGTCGTCGTCGTCGTCATTATCATTATCATTATGGCAGTACAAAGGTCTGCATGCCCAGAGTAAAAAATAAAAGCTTTGGTTGGGAGGCAAACCGTAACCAGCCGCAGTATCGACTAAACTTTGTAGTAACAATTACACGATAATTTGCCAAAAAAAACCTTGGTAAAAACCATTTGATAAAAGTGTCATAATATATATAAATAACAATAAAAAAATGTCCTGCAAGCTTTATGGACGTATTAATTGTAAAATAAAAATGTTCATGAGTTAAAAACCATCATTCATATAGCTGTCCATTAAATATCAGAACGTCTAAGGTATGTAGAAAATAAAATTTCGATAATTTACAAGATGAAGTATCTGTTAAAATGGGTGTCCAGAATTCCTGTAGATATCTAACCGCTCAGTTTGAACATTCTAGCAATGTGTAATGAACTAGACAGGATTGCCTGCATAATTGATTTACACTTGTCTCCTACAAGCTCTTTATATTTTGCTCAACCTCTTTCGAACAGCCTCCAAGGATATCCATGATGATGTTATACTGATTGACCTTGTACTCAGGATATCAGTTCGTCAGCTCTAGTCTCAGTTAACTGTACTTCGTTGTCTTCTCGAAATCTTTAGACTCTCTATTTTCCAGCCATGGACAGCTCATTTCAATCACTCTGACTTGCTTGCTGGTCTTGTCAATGATGGTGGCGTCGATTCTATTAGCTTTTACTTCCAAGCGATTTTTCAATTCTAGCTGCTTGATCTCGGCGATTTTGTGTTGAGAAATTTAAATCAGCAAACTCGCTATTGTCCCAAAGCTGCTCCATTATCGCCATATAACCATGCTTTTTTCCATCTGCCTTCCTCGGAGGGTCCTACGACTGTACAAAATCCTTAGCTTCTCTTTTACATTCCAAAAGCTTCGTATTCATTGCTTCAGTCCACTTTAAGCGTGTTTTAGATTGATTGTTAGTTATTTGTTCCGCTGAGTTTCTCTTGCCCGTCATCTTGTAATGTTGTTGTTGAAACAAAATCCAAAATAAATTTGAAAATAAAAGTTGATTTAGTCATATTAAGAGACACCAAATGGTTCTATGGGATTCCAAAACCTGTTGCCAAGCACAAAAAAGTGTTGTATTAATAAGCGTCGATGCTCTGAAGGGGGGCTTGTTTTTGTGACGGGCCGCTTTAACAAGAGTTACAAGACGACGTCCTCACTACTCGCCGCCATGGTACTACTACTATAATAATAATATATAGATTTAGCCAGGGCTAAAAGCGAAGCTCCTATATA